ATTTGTAAATTTTGGCAAATATATAAAAAAAATATAGTAAATTTTTATTAAAATATTAATAAAATACAAATAAATGATAAATATTGTAGATATAAATGTGTAAAATATCTACAAATAGTACCATATTTTGATATTATAAAGTAAATATAATACAAATATATACTACAATCAGTAATATTTATTTAAATTTAATGAAAATTAATAGAATACCGTCAAATAATTAATAATCTTTTTAAAAATAACTAATTTGTGATAATTCTGTAATACATATCACTTTACATTACTTACAAATTAATATCTTTGGTTAAAATATTTAGATAATTAATGAAATTGCGTGCAATAATTAGTGAAAATATTAAAAATTGTTGTGTTTAATCAATAATTAACTTAGAAATCTATTGAGTGTTGGTATAATACACAAGTATATTAGCAATAGTGTTGTCATCTAGTGCTTCTTAGCGTCATTAATGTAGTAGTGTTTTGCTAATAACGTATAATATTTAATAAAATAAACGCTAATTTAATGCTAAACATAATAAATATCCGTATAATATACAGATAAGGGGTTATCTTGGTGACATCTATAAGCATCAAATGTCATTAATATAGTGGTGTTTTGTAAATAAATTTAGATATTTAATAAGATAAGCACTAATTTAATCAAAAATCAAATGAATATCAGTGTAATATGCACGGATATTGGCTATTGTAGTGTCATCTATCGGAAACGAATAGCTCTAATATAGATGTATATAATGTATATCTAACAATATTTAATAAAATATATACAAATATACTGTAAATTTAGTAATAAATTATTTAAATCTAAATTAAATACTAATAAAATATGGTAATTTATTATAAATTTTGTAGCGTTTACTCAATTATTTGCAAAATATTAATAAAAATAGTAAAATAATTAAAATATTTGTTATTTATTTGTGAAAAATTATTATTAATTTTTATTTTTGCAATACATTAGCACATAAATACACTAAATATAAGTATAATGAAAGGGTATATTGACTGTCATTCTGCCATCTATTGGCATATAATGTCATTAATATAGTTGTATTTTGCTATTAAATTCAGATATTTAACATAATACTGACAAATAAACTGCAAATTTTGTGATTAACTAGTTAAGTCTTAATTGAATATTTGTAAAATACAACAATTTTTTGTAAAAATTAGTGTTTTAATTTAAAATATTAGGTAAATATACTTAATTATTTGAACAATATTATAAAAAATAATAAATATTGCGTAACTTTTCTTTATTTATATTCAATAATTAGTTAAATATATGTAAATAATTAATAAAAACTACCAATATTAATATTAAAAATGCAGTAAACTAATAAAATATACTAATTTATTTTAAATATAGAACAAAATAATATGAATTTTTAATAAAAACAACAAATATATTATAAAATAGTATTAATTTTTCTGACTATTTATAAAATAAAGCAATATATTGCATAATATGAGTGTTGCTAGGGGTTACGAGGGGTATAAATATAGGGGTTGAAAGGGATATGTGTATTGCTATTATAACGCCAAAATAGCGTAAAAATGGCAGATTTTTATAAAATATTAAGAATTTTAACAAAAATATAACTAATTTGTATTAAAAAAAGGCATTTTATTTTGAAAACTAAGATTATTTTACAAATATATAGAATAAATGTAATTATTTACGTTGTTTTATATTATAATTGATATATTTAGTTAAAAATTTAAGTAAATATATAATTTATATATTAATAATGTATAAAGCTTGATTATAATAAACAATACATTTGAATATTTGATTAAATATTTATTTATTTAATTCATAATTTAAATTATACATAAATTTATCAAATAATATTACAAAATCTTTATACAATAGGTTTAATTCTAATTCAGTTTTAATGCCTGTAAACACAACTTTGCCATTTTTTGACATATTAATTTTCTTCTTATCTCCCATATCGAGTATTGCATTTGGGAATAATTCCGGTTCAAACGAGACAATCTTTGCGCCAATAAAAAAAATGAAATCGTTTTAAGTCCAGTTGACCCACAGCTGTATTATAAGTGGCCACAATATTTGTCACCTGTATTTCATCGAGATTAACTTTATAATCCAGATTTAGGCATCTTCTGTACACACGTCTCATAGCATTAATGCCTGCTTTGGTCGACTTTACACATACACAAACCAGTTTTCCATTTGAATACATCATTACCGTTGCATTTAATTTCTTGAAGTACACTAAAACTCTGACGAAATGCTTGTTTTGATAAATACAATTTATTGAATTTAGAGTAAAATATCTTAAATCAATAGTACAATTAAGATTAGCAGACATTGAAATGTTAGTAATTGTAGCCATTATTAATAAATATTCACACAATTAGGGTCTTCGCCAATGTCGGCAATTGATAACTTCT